TGGCAGCAATCAAATATGTATTAACCGCTTTGTTTAATAATTATCTACAAATTGTATTTGTACACACATGCCCATACTTATTTTTCAACAGAAATAATATATAATCGACAGACTTATGCACTAGCTGGCTATTTAACCAAGCAAATCAAATTTTTACTGGAATGCAGTAAGATTTTCTGCTGTTTTTAGATCGTCACTTTTATACATCAAATCATGCCAACCGCATAAACATTCAAAGTAACAAAACTTGCGCATAAATATTCCGAATGCAGTTTTCTCACGCACAAAATGTACACTGTCAACCTAATAGATTTTACTTACTATAAGCCAAATGTTCAAAGACATACTTTATCGGCAAAGCCCAGTAAGTAGTGTAGGCGACTTTTCGTTTCTTTCGCGCTCTCTCTCTCCCAAGTGCTCTATATAGTAAGTCGTCTGCTTGTTCGGGGGTAACATAAATGTCACTAATTGCATTGTTCTGTACACTGTCAGTGCATTCCTTGGTGGAGCATGGGAGAAAAAGCAAAGAAAAAATAGGCAGGTAAGACAAACATGCATAAAAGATGATATGTTAGGCCGCAAAACCTAATACAGATAAACGCACGCGCGTACGTCTTAAATTCATACGCTAGTATTATAAGAATTGTGCAGTAAATATTTGTAATTTCCAATTACATTTCAATTGAGGATTTAAGATAAACTACCTGTACAACTGCCCTTCCTCTCCTCCCCCGCCTTGCATTGGAAGCGATACATAGGCCACGAAGGGATGCAATCACCCGCTGGAAATTTCGTCTGCCTATCCCATTATAGTCTTTCTGGTTCTTCCTGCCTGCTTCCATGTTGGGCTGCAACAAGCAAGGGGCATAAATATGGGGAAATAAATGCAAGATCCTCTTTCGTACACCACATAATAGCTCTAGTTATGCCCTGAAGGATGAAAACATTTCTGATAAAATTTGACGACAAGGCTGGCGGAGGGGTGTAGGATGAACTTTATTTTCCCAATAGACCAGATATTTCTTAATTTAAGTGGAGAGGGTCCGGTGCCTTCTGGTCTTGAACACAATACCATGGAGTATATGGCTTTAATCAGACCTATTTAAACCTACAAAGTAACAATGCATGAAAGAGGGTGTTTTATATTTTCTTCATTGGAATTAACAAAAACTATTATTCCCGTAAAGATCAATTTCCAGTAAAATTTCAGCATCAGCATGGATTTTATAGACAAGAAGTGCTTTTCATGATAAATTTGGAATGATAATTTGATTTTTGTAAAATTAAACACACTTGCATGCACGGGGGATAAGACATTAAAAATCGCCCTTCGCATTGCCTTTCGATGTCACTTGTGACTTACCGGTCCACCACCACCTGCTGCCGACACAGAAATGATACCATCAGCATTTTTCTCATGGCTTTTACTAGAATTTCCCCGTTGCTGCAACATAAATGATATATTATATTAAAATTAATAAAGGGCCAACTATTTCGGGTTAGGCTATGGCGGTGCTACATGTACGTGTGTTCTGTTGGATCAAGTTTTGAACCGCTCATATAACAGAGGGATAATAAAATCTGTACACAAAGGACGAAAAAAAAAACACGAAAGCAAGGTATTCCAATCAATGCACTAGGAAGTATATTTGTTGATTATTATTATTATTATTATTTTGTTATCCACTTACCTCTCCACCGAACTCCCCGGCGTCTTGTGCCACCCCTGTTGTCACGGCAACAACCACCCAGAACACCAGTAGGGTCAGTACGCGTGGTATATCCATACATACTTTGATACAACTATCGAAATTGGATTAATTTAGTAAGTTATGGGCGATATATATATATATATATATATATATATATATATATATATATATATATAGAGAGAGAGAGAGAGAGAGAGAGAGAGAGAGAGAGACTTTTGTAGTTCAAAGACAAACTGACACAACAATTCACCCCCAGTACAGGGTTTTCTATTAAGAAACTTGATAATAATAAATAAGACACGAGGGTGAAAATGGCATGTGGATGTTTACACTGTTTTCAATACATACGTTAAATAATTATTAAATACTCCAAAATTCGTCTTTGTCCGAGCAAACTTAGTAGAAAGGGCATATTACGGTCAATGACACTGTCAATTTGGCTAAGTGGCAGCCAGTCTATGTAATGCCTTACACGGCCGATGCTAAACGGCCTGTGTACGAGTTGCAGTTATCACCTACTTTTTATTGGTTGTTATTGTCAACTCTTTTTTAAGGCTCGCGCGTGGAATCCTAATTGTACTATACACACCAAGTATGCCTACCTCACCGGATAAATATAACGTGTCAGGAAGCCTGAAACTATTTCCTTACTGCGACTACAAATGCATGTATCCAGACTTACCCACGTGTTTGTCCGATTCTCCATGTGAAGGGAGGCTATGAGGACGAGCAGTTGTTAGCTTCATGACCTTGCACTTTAGTTCAGTGTCAATGATTCTGACCTTTTACATATCCCGGAATTCCCCAGTGATCAGAAATTGGAACTCCACGTTAAAAATTTTCTTTTCCTCTCTTAGGTAGCTTTACATTTATATTTACTATTTAGACAAGTTGTGCACTGTTTTATGTCGTTTTATTTAAACAAAACTCGAGATTTCAAGTGTACATAAGGTATGGACTTAAAGCCAAAGAACAATTGATTAATTTTTTCATTGAAAAAATATTCCAAAAAATTCAAGAAATCGTCTCTTTATTTTCAAAAGATTGAAATCATTCTCCACTTTAAAACTAATTTTTTTATATACATGCAACATATGGCGCATACATATTGCAAAGAGATTAGAATAAACCATTATTATTGTTACAATAATTATTATTAGTCTACTTCAATTAGTAGTAATATCAATCGTGAAGATTGTTTCGCAGCCAAGATGAAGTGACAAGCAAACATTTTCTTGAATTCATATTTGAAAAAATGGGGAAAATGGCAGCTTAAATTGTTTGCCGTATTGAATCACAATCGGAGGTTTTGTTCTTTCCTTATTGATGTTTTTTGTCTTTCTACTTTTACGCAGCCTAAACCGCTAGTCGTGTCATTTTAGTTCTACCTAACTGTGCAATTCTTGGGAAATAAAAGATGAGACACATTATTACATGTGTAAACCAGTCAGAAGTGACCTGTTTCATCTAGCACTAGATGGTTTTCATTTTCAATTTGAGGATTTCTGCAAATTACTTAACGATGCATTTTTCCTATAGTTTTCAAATCCAAAACAATAAAATAAGGGTTTTAGGTACATGTAGTACTAAAAAATTAAAAAATTAAAATTAAATTGAAGAAATTATATCAAGAAATTAAAACCAAATATATGTTTGATAGCTTATTTACATTATGAACCATACTGTAGGATTCACAGGGTGGTACACACATTTAGCTACATACGTTTATGTCCCTGCACCGTAACGGAGTGAGGAGGTAACGATGCGGGGAGTAACGGTGCGAAGGTGCATCAGTGCAAGGTGAATAGATGTGGGGACCGGGTAACGTCATAAATTTATAGTAGGGATGTGAGGCAGTGTCGAAGCGCAGAGGAAGTATCAATACGAGGGGATAACGAGGCCAGGACGTTGCAAGGGACGCACTGGCGCCCCTTTTAGGATGTCGCAGACCCCACGCGCCTCTCGCAACCCTTGTTATATGAAGCTAGATAAGAAATTTATAATTAATAAGAAATATTTTAATAGGATATGTGATGTTTAGAAATAGGTATAGTAGGACTGGTGTTGAGTAGAATTCTTCTTGTGGTGGGTAGACCACAGGAAGAATTTAGAACACTGGGAATAAAGATGGTTGGAAATCCATGGCTCTCGTTGCTCGATTCTTCTTGATCGGTGAATAGAAAATCGAACCTAACAACGTAAAGAAATGACCCCAAATAATAAGCACATTGCTATGGCTATGAAACTAATTAATTCAGAACATCTGTTAATATTTATATCATGACTGTAAATCAAAAGTGTAAATCGTTGTAATAAAAATAATAAACATATATTAACTGGTTTATTCTATTTGTTTATTTTTATACAAATGCCACAGAAATACAATGTATTCACTTAAATAAACTGTGTCAGCATGACTTTTGTAAAAAACTTCTCAATATAAAAGGTTAAACGTTTGATTCATATGTCTAGAGTGGTTCAAGTACGCCATCACGTTGTTATTACACATAAGTAATATTTTTTTGTTTAATTACATTGATAATGATTAACACAGGTGGTCTTGATCATCTTTTTCCTGTTGCTATGACTCTCAAATCAGCCAATGTTCATTTTCGTTTGTTTATACAGACTGATAATAATAATAATAATAATAATAATAATAATAATATAATTATTATTATTTATAGTCTATGTTCGATAGACTTTACAAATTTATAAACTTCACAATTAAAAGAAAAAATACTAATGGTCATAAGATGAATGGAAGATAGAATGATTATAGAAAAAATGTTAAAGGGAAAAAATAGATATATAAATGGATAAGAGGTGGAAATTAGAACTATGAACTAAGAACAATTATTCGTAAAACGTATACTTACAAGAATTTTAAAATAATATTGCTTAAAAAAGGAGGTTTTAAGTTCCTTTTTAAAATATCAAGGGTCTACAATTTGTCTAAGATTGATGGGTAAATTATTCCATTCTCTAGGTGCTTCAATTTAAAAAGCTTTGTCACCGTATGCCACCAATCTTGCCTTACAAGCCTTAAAAAGAAGGCGATCACCTGATCAAAAATTTCTAGCTCATTTAAATAAGAGGGTGCAAGTTTTTAAAATACTGCATGTACAAAAACAGATGAGATGTCACTTAATTTATTACTACCATCTTTTCTAAGTTTCCTGGTATCTACTTCACAATCGAAAGACAAAAGAATTGCGTTCTTTTCTTTTGTCAAGTGTAAGTTTAACCCAGCTCACCCTCCTCCCCCCTCCCCCCCCCCAAAAAAAAAAAAATTGTCCATTTGATGTAGTCAGCACGATTCATTCATTTAAGCTGTTGGTATATAACACCGAGCACGTTTCTCACTGTAAAAGTACCGCCGTTCTGTTTTTCCACCACTTTCAAAGTCTGTCCTTCTTCCGTACCCACAGGCATTACAAGGCAGCCCCCAACCTTGAGTTGCTTGGTCAGCTGAAAGACAGGAAATTATTTACAATTTACAAACTCTGGATATATAACGATTACAAACTGGTATAAAAATAATTGCTAGAAATGTTCAAATGTCCATAAAATGAATATGATGATAATCTTGCACATTTTTCACAGTAATTATGGCATAACAATAATATATCACTATAATCACAGTGATAACCTTAATGAAGTTGGGAGGAACTTAATATATATTATACAGTTGGCCGCATATGCATTTGTTGAGCATATTAAGTTAAAAGTTCTTTTTATTCAGGTCGCAATGAGTTAATTTAGATACATAAAGAGAAAAAGCACCACTCGTAGCCCTACTGAAGCCCTAATGGTATAGTATAAAACAAATGCGTACTGCACTGGGTACTTCTGGTGCCGCCCCACCAACATGGATGACGTCATAGGGGCCCAAGGCTTCGTGTCCATCTTTACCGTCGGCACACACCAGAACCAAGTGGTTGGTGTCCATTAATTCCCTGAGACGCGGATCTTTCTTCATATTGGCTTCGGCAAACTTCACCAAACCCTCAACTATGTCAATCCCAACCGTGTACCCTGTTCTTCCTGCCTAAAACGATTGTAAATAAATATTGAAATTAGATAACAGCTGCATTATGTCGGGGGACTAGCTATGCTACAAGGCCATCAGTTGAAACTTTGAGCATCTTTTTAGATGAGGCCATCAGTTAGAGTGGTCAGTTCGCCTACATATTTCTACATACATCATATTCAATAGGAACAATGTCTGACTTTTCATTGATTAAAATTTTCAAACAACCAGTAACGTTCAATAAATGCTTTGACAGTGGCGGATTTAGACAGGGGGTCAGGGCTTTGATTTCTATTCCCCTCTTGAAACTTTAATTTTGACTACCTGAATCAAGTTCTAAACCGTATCAAATGGCAACGTTCGCCCTTAAAATACCAAAGAATTTCGGGGCCCTTAAGCGGGCTCCGAACCCCACGCCAAGTTGGGGGGGGGGGGGGGGGGGG